AAAACACCCCCCCCCCCCCCCCCCCCCGCCTCTTCCTCTCTCTCTCTCCCCTCCGCTTCTCTAAATAAATAAAAATAAATAAATATTGAGTATAACTATTACACTACGTCAGAAATATTACGTGGTACAACTGTCCACATAAACAAGTTTACAAGTAAGTGTATAATCATAACCACCTTCATGAGATATACTACTTAGCTTTCTCCCACAATTTTATCCATTTTGTAATTTTTTTATTGAATAATTATATCACATTAATATTATTGACATGATATAATCATTAGATTTAATATTTTTTTATTAAATAGTTACACAACATCAACATTATTGATATAATATAACAATTACATCCAATATTTAAACCTCTTCAGGGATTAGTATCTCGCAGACGTTAACATGAATTTTGAATTTTTGATAATGATTATGAAACAATAAATATAATAAAACAAAAAATTATGTTTTTTATTGAATAAAAAGTAAAAGGTATGACAAGAAACTATTATTTTTTAGTATTATAACTTAATCCCTGTTATGGTGTGTATGCTAAGCTCAATTGTTTGATTATTCTATTTTTTTTCTCCAAAAGTTAATTAATTGTTCTTTTAATTCTAAATTGANATTAATATTATTGACATGATATAATCATTAGATTTAATATTTTTTTATTAAATAGTTACACAACATCAACATTATTGATATAATATAACAATTACATCCAATATTTAAACCTCTTCAGGGATTAGTATCTCGCAGACGTTAACATGAATTTTGAATTTTTGATAATGATTATGAAACAATAAATATAATAAAACAAAAAATTATGTTTTTTATTGAATAAAAAGTAAAAGGTATGACAAGAAACTATTATTTTTTAGTATTATAACTTAATCCCTGTTATGGTGTGTATGCTAAGCTCAATTGTTTGATTATTCTATTTTTTTTCTCCAAAAGTTAATTAATTGTTCTTTTAATTCTAAAACAANTTTAGTATTATAACTTAATCCCTGTTATGGTGTGTATGCTAAGCTCAATTGTTTGATTATTCTATTTTTTTTCTCCAAAAGTTAATTAATTGTTCTTTTAATTCTAAATTGAAATATATTCGAAGCTTAAAGTTCAATTTTTTTGTGGAAAAGAATATGTTAGGCTAACACCACTTATATGTATTGTTCAAAGATATTATTTTCACTTAAAAATACACGGTAGCTATATATCTAAGATATAATACACTTCTCGATCAACCCCAAAAAGACAAAAAAATAACCAAAGAGTATCTAGGATTCAGCTTACCGTTAAGAACGTCTTTGGTTAGTAAGGAAATGTAGGGCCAAAAAATGCTGGGCAGAAAAAACATGCAAAAAAAAAAAGGAAGCAGGGGTCAAATATAGAAGCTTTTTGATTGTAAGATTAAGATATACATCACCGAAACAAGGAGTCCAAACAAACCAGTCTAGGGGTCACTGTAGTCAATTTTCATTCTCTAGAAACTTGGGAAAATATACAATATCGTGTACTGGTATTAAAATTTATAATTTTTGAAGGTNAGAAGCTTTTTGATTGTAAGATTAAGATATACATCACCGAAACAAGGAGTCCAAACTAACCAGTCTAGGGGTCACTGTAGTCAATTTTCATTCTCTAGAAACTTGGGAAAAAATACAATATCGTGTACTGGTATTAAAATTTATAATTTTTAAAGATNGGAGTCCAAACAAACCAGTCTAGGGGTCACTGTAGTCAATTTTCATTCTCTAGAAACTTGGGAAAATATACAATATCGTGTACTGGTATTAAAATTTATAATTTTTGAAGGTAAAATTATAATTATTTTTAGGTGTAAGTTACAATCTTAAAGAGTTTTATCGATCATAGAAAATTAAGATTGATATCGAGATTTTATGATTGATTATGGGTGTCTGTGATCAATCATGACTTTTTTTTGAATAAATGTAACTTTTCATTTCAAAATTATAACTTTATAATAAAATGTGATAACCAGCGGTACCATGTTCCGTACCATAAAGTTTCCCAATAGACTTAATATATTTATGTATCTTAAGGTTTTTGATTTGGTCATTGAAAGTGTATATTTCTAATGGTGATGGGGGACAGTTAACTAAAATAGACCCACCATTGTAATGACTTTATAGGATAGAACAGTCAAAGAGTAGTATGTATTTTCCCTACGACTATTCTAATCAACTTGCCATGGCAATTTCCACTGTTTTTACTTGTGCAATTTGTTTTTGTGGTCTTGCGGCTCCCGGAGCCAATCCAATTTCACAAAAGGGTCAATGCATTTCCCTTGTCAATTATGAGGCAGGACTCAGGAACAAGGTTCTGGAAAAGTTGAATGTTCACGTATCACCAAACCCGAAATTACATCATACAATCATGGCACGAGTCTATCATCAAATCCAAACCGAACACGAGTTGCTTGACATGCTTACACAAGGGTATATATGGTAGAAGAATGTAAATTGAGACATTTGAATGAGATGTCTGATGATATTATTACTATTCCAAGCGTTCTTGCAAGGACAAAGCAATGAAGACTATTGCTTATACACTGGAAATAAAGTTTGAAATCCCTAAAAGCCAAAAGCTTTCATGCTAAGACTAAAGACAATTTGCACATGGACTCTAGTTTTAGAGTCTCAATGTGCATGTAAACCCCTTAAACCATGCTTTGGTATTACAATTGCAGGCCAATAATTGACAGACAACAGCTACTTTATATATACATTACTCTCTCCCTTACGATCTGTATGGGCTTTGAACTGAATGGTGTGTTGTATATCTATACAACTTCACCCTGGCAAAGATAAAATGCATGGTCGTGGCGATCTTGGATGCGTAGTGGCTACTTCAAAAATGTTTGAAAATTTGAATCGAAGGACCAACTAAACTGGGACCAATTGTTACGCACTCCTTTGTTGGTTTTGGGTTATCAGCTGCAAATGGCCTCCACAGAAAGTTTCTTCATGACATTAGGACATGGATCTCCTCCAAAGAGCTCTGGTGCTACAGTTACTGAGCATGATTGCTGCCCAATGCAGTACTGCAAGGTTGAAAAATCATGCATCAAATAATGGAAAAGAACATAGGATTGGAGCAATGACTCAATGGGAAAATATGGCCACATAAGGTAACATAATATAGCTCGGGTCTAATGCAGCTGCTTAAATTCTTGGAAAGCATCTTAAAACTGGTTCTGCTAGAAGACCTGATTTGAAACGTGTAACAGGTGGTTTCATGGAAATGGGAGTTTTATCTTCATGCATTCATCGGCCATCAAAGAAGCAAAATGAAACTAGGAAAAACACAGATATAATAGAGAGCTGTTAAGATAACTGAATAACCTGTTGTCCTAATTCCACGCCATGAGCAAAAAACGAAATGGCACAACTAAGCCCGAACCATAATAAATAAATAATGGACTATAGTATAGTATTCCAAAACACGTGGTATAAACTGCAATAAATTAATATACCTTTTCAAAAGCATCGTAGGAATTATGGGCATGACAACTACCCTCCCGGAAGCTTCCACAAGCCCCCTCTGGAGTTCCAAAACTAGCAAATTTGATTGAGGAGATTTTCTGACCAGGAGCACACGAGAGATGGGCCTTAGGCCTCAGGGGCTTGTTGACTTTACCTGAGGCTTGCATCTGCCAATTCATTAGAGTTGGTTGCCACTCAAAAATATCAGCACATACACTCGATATCCCCCTTTTCACCAAAGAGATTCCATATGGATTTCCACCCAACTCTTCAAAAACAACCAACAAATTTCCTGAAGGATTCAGCCAGGGGCGAGGAACATGATACCTGCGATTGTCATCTTTTTTAAGTCAATCAACTACTTGATTACCTGAAGACAAAGTCCCACAGCAAGTTAAATTTTCCTCTTACCATCTTTGGGAGGCCTCTCCACAATTACTTAGACATTTTTTCTCGGTGAACCAACCAGCATAATTACAGCTCCCACAAGTACCAGATGCTTTGTATCCTGGCCAGTAGCGTCCAATGCTTTTCCCATTTATCCAAACTTGACCTTTGCCCATACTAGCCATATCTAAAGCCAATGGCTCATTCCCAGCAGGAGCATTGAAAGTACTCTGAAAAAATGACAAAAACATCAGTTTTTACTCTGGTAGCTTCAGTAAAGGAGAGTCTTATTAAATTGGATAGATGTATGAATGTTCTACTATTGAGGCATTGTTGTATATTGTGTGTTCAGTTTAAATGCATTAATTTAAGGTACATTCAAACAAGAAAAATGCATTGCTTGGTTGAAGAATTTTTTCGGCAACATTCCCTCATTCCCCAAAAGACTGCCCCCCTCCCCCAGGGGGAGCCAGGGGAAGATATCCATTTTGGTGAACAAAACTACATCCACTATAAACACTCTGACTTGAAATTTACATACTTCTGGTACTAAACAAATGATAACAGAGATCTTTTGCTAAAAAAATTATTACCTTGTACCATGTTAGTGGCTGCTTTTGAGCTACAAAAGAACCTTCAACCCACTCAACAGAGGAACTTCCACTGAGGGAATGAAGACTCAAAGCTTCTCCCTCCAAACCAATCTGTTAGGAACACGCAGTCACTTAATTACTTAAGATGATGGCAATCAGACAAAATAGAAGACTGTCTAAGAACAAACCTTGTAAGACCATTTTTGCCATGATAAGTCTCTTCTCCCCTCATCAAGACCGCTGAGTGAAACTGGGCCAAGAACACCAGCATTCCAAGTCTCAAAATGCGGACCTACATTCTGCGCTCATATAGAGGAAGAACAAAGCATGGAAAAGTCATTTGCTAATTACCATGTAATATGTATCTAAAAAAATAGATTTGTTTGTAAGTGTGTTTCGTTTGCACAAAATCACATACTTGTGCTAGAGAGAGAGAGAGAGAGAGAGAGAGAGAGAGAGAGCCAACCGGAAGACCAACAGCAATGCTTAGCAGCGAAATTTTGTTAACACCAGCTCTCAGATTCGCAGCCTTACTAAAAGTTAGTTTTGGGTTTTCTAAACTTCCATAGACAGATCCTGCCAAAAATAGGAGAGACCATGTTACTAAAAACTAAAGCGGTCCTGGTGCTAGTAGCTATTAGCTAAGCAAGCAAAATCAAGGAAGAATAACATATATGGTTCATAGACATGTATTAGCACTAATAATTATCTCTTTTTTTTTGCTCCTGATAGTCATGCGATTTTACTGCTTTGTTGGTGCATTAAGGAGTTCAAAACCTTTGGGGTTCTGTTAAAATACATAGCCAACCAATAGATTTTCACCTCCATCTTTCTCCTTAGAAGAAAATACATAGAAAGGGTGCAATAATTAATCTATCATCAGTTAAATTAGTTATCATGTACTTAAATCAAACACACACTAACTAACACCAGGCACCTGATAGTTGACCGTTGACAAAAACATGCAAAGCATGGCCGGCCGAAAGGACAGTAAGAAAAGGCCACTTTCCACCCTTCAAAAATCCTTCATCAGGGTTGATCTTGACGCTGGGGAAGAGAAGAAAATATGAACAATATAGAAACTAAACTGGTTTCATTAAAGTTTATTAGATTATATTTTCCAGATTATTTCTATGAAAACAAGAAGCAAAGAATAGTTTATAGCACTTACTCTGTCATGTACCACAAATAATCAGTTTGATCTCTGGTGGTATTTATCTGTTCCAACAAGCCGACCATTGTAAATGTATTGTCACCATATGAAGTCGTCTCTTCATTGTATGACTTCCAATCGAATCCTACTTTGTAAACTACAGGAGTCATCTTCATTTGTGCGCTTTGAGCGCCAACCTGTAGATTGAATTTGGTTTATGTTAATAGCTTGTCCAAGCAAAACCCTTGAAAGGAAAAGAACTTGGATCACTAGCAAGCTTTATGTTCCCTAGCTTTTAAATTTCCTTTCTTATGTGCTAGTTATCTTTATTAGGTGAGAGTGCTAGAGAACTAATTATATTGACAACATTCTTTTTAGAAATGTAGTCATTTGAGACCACCAAAAAAATTGAGAAACTTCATCCATTTTTCCATGCTACTTGTGTTAATAGAACAATGTTGAAAAGCATTATGCCTTAATAAGAGAGTTTTTTTTTTTAAATTTGACCAAGAGTCCATTTCTCACCCTTGCAGTGTTGTAAACAGTATGCTTGCAATCAGGGAGGACGCTGATAGACCAAGGTGGAAGATTGTAGTGCATATTTCCAAAAGCTACTTTTGCAAAAGAATGTTCGTTGTAGTTTGCAAGGAATGCAGCACAAGCTCCAGACTTTGACTTGAAAACATGTGCCTGAAAATTAACAAAAAAATTGGAGTGTTTAGTTCTCATACAATTTGACATAGGTAACTGATTCTCAGGGAGCTAAAATAATCAGACCTCTTGATAGTTTCCAAGGGGCGTCACAGAAGGATCTCCAGATACTAAAGCTGGTTCGCACAGCTTTATTGCTCTATGCAAATCTTTCAAATGACCCCATTTAGGTTCCCTTAATAGTCCTAGGCATAGAAAGATAGAATTGTCATTGATTTTCCTAACAGTAAAATAAATTTTTGAATAATTAACAGTTTGTTTGCTGGTTACAACAATAAACTTTACGACAAAGGAAAGCCGGGGGTAGGAAAAGGCTCATATGATGAGAAGTTATAATATTTATAAATACAGAATGGCATGGCATCCGGCAAATTGGTTGTTCAATGAGTGGAAGGCCTGCCGGTAAATCTGAGGTGTACAGAAACATTTTTATCAGCTTGGATGTTGCAACTGTCTGGAGAAATCAACGATTATATCACCCAAGAATGATAATTATTCACCACCAAAAATTAGAGAGATTGCACTTATCATTCAATTAGACCTTTTTACCTACATGACCTGTGCATCACCCATCAGATGATGGAGTTTCTGCTTTCCCTACAAACAATTCACACCAGCAAGCCACCATATCAGGAGTGCACATGTGCCAAATATTTTGTGGGCCAAAAGTGTTACTCAATTGCCCCTGCCCTAATTCGTGAAATGATGGGAGTAACCCTCCTCCATGATGTGGCTAATTGCAACTGGTGACAGGTTGGCAATCATGTCAGACACGGGGAAGTTGAACCCAACATAAAACCCGCCTTAATTTAAATTCAAACTAGCATACAGCATGTTAGCATCCATAGCACCGATATTGCAATCTGAAAATAAACACCACAACAACAAGCTTTTGCTGTGTACTTACCATATTCATCAAGAGGAGCATCATAATCGTAACTAGTGGCAATAAAAGGACCACCAGCAGTCCTGGCAAAGTTCGTCCCTCCATGATACTGCAAATAGAAAAGCAAAATGAAAAAATCAAATACATGTATATATCAAGATTAAATTCACCAGGGAAATAGAGCAAACAGTTCACTTGCCATATAATAATTAATGAAAGATCCCCCCTTCTGTATAAACCTTGCAACTGAAAATGCCAAGTCTTCAGCTGGACGGTAAGGAACTGGACCTCCAAACTCAGTAAACCTGTGGGAAAGAATTTAAGGGGCTAATAAGCCAGGGATTCACTTGAAAGTTTCTTCAAACTTATGGCACTTGAGTAGATGGTAGAAATATGACACATTGCAATTGATAAGTTAACAAATTTACCAGCCTGTCCACGCTTCAGTCCACATCTTGGGCTTATAATCTTTGTTTGGAGAGAAGTAATCGCAGTAGAAACCATTGCATGCGTTAATCTGAACATGATGAACAAAAGGTAATATGAATGCGACTCTGGAAAAAATTAACATATACTAAATAAGGAAAAGAATTATTTGGAAGAACTAGTCATATGATATTGAGAGATACTAACATCCTATGATTCATTAAGATAATGCTAACCACACAAATGAGGTGTATAATCGATTTGGGTTGGCTAAATAATTAGTCTTGCTCCAACGGTGACATGGGAAAGCTCTAGAAAACATTTTTTTGTATAAAACGCTTACAATGGAAGTTGAATCAGGTGTTTTTTTTATCAATAAGGAAACATGGCCATTAGTCCATCATTACAAAATTCCAAGGGCAGAGGATACTAAATAAAGTCAGAGCACAAGAGATAGGAGTGAGAAAGACCAAACACTAGCCATGTGCAGAGGGACTGAAAACTCAATGTAGTCATGACCACATCAGGGGGCAACGCACTCATACGCAGCAACCCCCCCAAGGACGGGCCATGGGATAATGCCAAGCAAAAGGTAGAAAGAAACTGCGAAAAGCAGTGACACTTACAATGGGATCAGGGGCATCATCTTGCTTGCACATGACCCATGGGACTCCAGTGCCTTGATTCACAGCCATATGAGCTGCCCATTCTGAATAAGCTTTACCAGGAGCACCAAGTTCATACTCCATGGGTCCATATTCATTCTCAATCTGTCACATAAAAATATATCTTTCAATTCGCTTCCCAGTTTTAATCTAATGAATTGCGAATACAGATAAAACTTTGACTTGGGTTTAATGAACTAGCACAAAGAAATTCATTGAAACACTGGAAAATACCAAAAAAGACTACTTTTACCTACCTGAGATAAAATAATTGGACCACCTTGAGTTTCATACAACCTTTCTGCTTTCATCATATTTACAATCTTCGTTGTGAATTTTTGCATTGCAGCCTTCAGTATAGCATGTTAAGACACACAAACTTAGAGTACAATATTGACAACCCAATCACATCATGGCATTGGAATAGAAATTGAATGTTCACATGCAAGAATAATAACAATTCCCTAACCTTGAAAGGGCCATTATTGGTCCTGAAACTTATACCCGGGACATACTTCAGCCAAACTGGGAATCCTCTGAAATCAAAACAGAGATAGTGATTGAACACAAAAATTATGTCAAAAATTAATTATTTCTTCTTCTGGAAATTATGCATCTTCAATATATTACCCAAAGTTCCATTCAGCACAAGCATAAGGTCCAATTCTGAGATGAACATAGAGTCCTGCTTGCTTCACCAGCTTCATAAATTTAACCAAATCATACCTCTCCTCAAAATAGTACTACAAAAATAAGAATAATATTTTTTAGTGAACATTAATAAGCATTGGACAAATTACGATTAGAAGAGGAAAAAAAGAAGTTAATTCTAATTACTTTGCCAGGTTGGGGTTCATGCCCATTCCAGAAAACATATGTCTGAATCACATCTAAACCTCCATCTTTTGCCTTCTGAATAAGATCTGGCCACATCTGGAATATCCAACCCCAAGAACAGAATATAGTAAGAAAAAAAAATTAGAGACATTAAGAGAGAGAAATACAGAGAAAAAAATGAAAGAACATGGAAAAAACATGGGAAATCAGGCAAACCCAGAAAGCACATTGGCATAAATATACCTCAGGAGTGCTTCGTGGGTAGTGAATGGATCCAGAAATAAGAATCCTCCTTTGCCCATTGACGATGATAGCCTTGTGGTCATATGACACAGAGGCTGTACCACAAAACACCCATGAGCTCAAAAACACCATCTCCAACAACAACACGTTCCACATTACCAGCTTCAAACCCATCACCATTGATACCCTTTGAGTTTCTGTCTTCCTTCACAAAGCAATACCCTTTTCCTCTTTACTCTTTCCCCCTCAAACACTTTATTCTGCACCCCTTTTATTTAGAGAGAGAAACAGAGATGAAGGACATACATCAAGAAACAGCTGTGCTGTGTTTTTTTCCTCTGTTTTTGAGCTTTTTCTTTATATTTTTCTTGAGAAAATGAGAGAGAAAATTGCAGAGCAGCAGCTAGCGAGTCCGATTAATGGGAAAGACTCTTGGTACTTGCAAAAAATTGGTGCTTCGCAGCTGCTTTTAAACATCCAAGAGTAGAGAACTGATGGCCTGAGACAGATAGTGGAACCCACTAGTGGGGGTCCCACTTTTTGACCTTACTCTTACAATGCGGAGTTTCGTCGAATAAATCATTTTTATTTTTGTTCTGCTTTTTTTTATCAGTAGGTAAAAAGAAATTTAGTTTATATTAAAAAAGAAGAAAAGATTAAAGGTCTGTTTGGCTGTTGTGAAAAAGGTATTTTTAACGCGTGTTTATTTCTCTGTTTGACGTACAAAGATTCTCTACTCAATCCCAATACGGTCGGTCCATAATTCATATTTTATCCCGTGATCGGTTATGTTTGGTTTGCTGGAGTGTCACTGCCAAACGCTCCTTATCAATCAAACACTTACATAGTGGACCGCACGTGCTCAGAAGGTGAGTGGGGGGACATCATTTCTTGCTTATTACAATTATGGTATTGCTTACAATGTTGATCACTGTTTCGAATTTATTGCTCACTGGTTATATTTATGACTCACTCAGTTGCTTGTACCAGGACGGGCTCTAAACTTACCCGTCATAAATTCCAATTGCAATAAATTTTTAGGGTTAAGTCAGAAAAAATTTACTTCTCACATATATTTTATTTTCGGTATAGATAATTTGTCTTTAATTAAGGGTGGCTCAAGTCAATTTGATGTCTAAAACAAAAACATTAAATAAAAGACTTTTTATTTTTAATAACATTTTTTTAAAAAAAATAATTTATTTTTAATTTTATATGTGAGAGGGAGACAAAAAATAATAATGTGTTAATATTGTGGAGAAAGAAATTTCAACTTTTGTTTTTGTTTTTGTTTTTTTATTTTTCTTTACCACAGAGAGAAAATAGGTATAAATAAATATGAGTTGATTTTTGAGTATTTTTTTTAAAAAAAATTTTAAGTTTTTAATGTTATGGATTGGATTATAGGCCCAAATTATTGCAATAAAAATTTTAATTGGATTTAATTTTTGAGATTTTTTTGTACTGCTTAAAATTTAATAGATTTGTTTTTTTTTGTGGGCTACTGATGTATCTAAAATTATGGGACCTTCTAAAAATTTGGAATCTAAAGGCTTGTTTTTTTTTTTTCATATTATTGGACCGACCTTGTTTTTATCGGACTAGAAAAAGAATTAGTCCAAGCACATATAACCCGTTAAACTAAAAAAAAAAAATCAATTGCTCACAGGTTATATTTATGACTTACTCTCATTTTTTTTTGAATAACCTATATTTTACCAATATTTTTTCAAACAAATTAAAGATTAACAAAATATTAATAGATTTGTAGATAAATCTAATTTTAATTCAAATTTAATCTAAAAAAAACTTGCTCTTGGGTTATATTTAAAACTTAATAAATATTTCGTCCTTAATTCTTTATACAAATTTAAGTAGGACCTACTATATAAATAAATTTGTCGATAAATTTAATTTTAATTCAAATTTAATATAAATAGAAACTCAATTAACCGGACATTAATTAATATTTTTCACCGATAATTTGAATTCAAGTTGTACGAATTGGAAGTTAGATATAGTAATATGCTTGCTTCAATTTAAATAATATATAAAAAGTATTTTGGTGACATACGCTAACAATTAATTAATCAAGATGGTTAGAGACTAACCACCTAACCTAAGGGGCGCACCCTGGTAAATGGGGTCTAAACGAGACCATAAGTCCACACTCTTCCGTCTTTTGACCTCTGCCAAATTATTTATGTTCATTGGGTAAAACATGTCAACACATCAATATATATTTATATATATATATCTTGACTGGTGAGTGCTACCATGCACCAAACTTCTTGTGAGATAGAGGAATTCTATAATCCTACTTAAAAAATATTACAAATTATTGGGGAAGAAAAAAACATGTACACAATTTAACATAAAAAAAAAACTTAGGAGCAATGTTATTAGGATTTAATTTAGTAACTTAATTTGTTGACCTAATTCACTATGATTTTTAGATTGATTATGGGTTCTATCAAATATTAGAACTTGGTGTTGATCTAATAGTTCTACTGAAGTCACATTATTATATCAGCAAATTAAATCAAATTTTTAAGTTCAAATAAAATCACTCAAAACCTAAATGACACCAATGTAAAAATTATACAAATCTAAATGTGTTAATTAATTTATATATATATTTATAACACAAACTAAAGATGACAGGACACAATTTAATTAACACCCCCTTATTTTCTTTTTCTTTTTATCTTTTTTGGTTTAATCGTCAAGGATGTCCGGGTCAACTTATGCGTACATCGATCAATCTCTTTCCCAATCTGATCAAAGGTAGGTCATCTACAAAAGATTAAAATATTCATGAAAGATAAATCTTCTGTTCCGTACAAGGAACCAATGAATTGCCAACACTCTTCATTCTCACTAGACTTTTGTACTAAATATAGCCTTACTCAGTTAATCTTTGTGTATATTTATTTTTATTATAGTTATTAAAAAAAAAGAAACCACAGACGTAACTAAACAATTCTGGACCCAATATTAGCAGAATCATCCTTGATGGTTGCTCTTTCTCTCTCTCTCTCATATCAGATATAATGGGTGTTTCTTGTTGCAATCTAGTGAGCAATAAGCAAAATGGAGAACCTTTCACTTTGAGAAATGGAGAAGGAATAGATGGTTTACTTGCCGGGAGGAGAAAGAGAGAGAGAGAGAGAGAGAGCAAAACAAAAGCTTGATGCAATCACCGCTGATTTGTTTGTAATGTTTTGTTCTGTTGAGAGTCCCCTAAACAAAGCAAAGAAAAGAAGAGGGTTGCATGCACTCCTCCACCACTCACCCCATGCATGATTGCACACACCCACCTGCCCCATTTTCTAAGTCTTTCCCTAACCATATATATTAATGAAATCATCCCTAACCAACTATTTTATGGATTAAGCAATACCCAAATCCATCTCTTCAATTATGTTATGATGTGCACTTCCTCTCATAAAAATGTTCATCATGCCCTCCCAACAATTCTTCTAATGTTGAATAGTATCCGGGTCAATGGATTAGATTATGTTATTTTTAAATCGAATTACTTTGGATTCTATAACTCGTGGATTAAAACTGTAGAACTATTATCCAGTTTCTTAACCAAATTTACCAAACAAAAGGCTTCTATCACCTAACTAATTGGGTCCAGCCTAGGTGACCACCCTTTATTCTCTCGACATTCAATTAGTTATAACTAGGGGTGTAATTCGGGTGAATTGAGAGATCAATTTTAACCCAAATTTTAGGTATATAATTTTCAACTCTAACCCTAATTTTAGCCTTAACCTTAATCCTACCTCAACCCGAGTGCTATCCGAGTTTAATACACGCAGACTCGAATTGAATTCGGGTTAAAAATCGAGTTGAATTTGAATTACTTAATTCGAGTTGATTTTTTGAAGTGTATATTTGATTTTTTCAAGTGTAGATCAAATTTTTTCTAAGTGATTTGAGATGATCGGGCGAGGCGCAGATGAAAAAAGAGGGAGTGAGAGAAGGAGGGAGGCTAAGAGTCTAAGACGACTCAGACGAATGACGATTGAGAGAGGGAAGCTAAAAGAGGGAGGAGTAACGAGTGAGAGAGGGATCTAAGAGTGATAGAGGCGCAGAGATGAAGACTTAAAGTCAGTGTTTTAAAACCCGGCCCGGCCCGGCGGGTTGACCCGGTGAACCAGTCCCCTAACCGGCCCGGTTTTGTAATTGGACTGTTTGAGCAAAGAACCCGGAATAAAACCGGTGAACCGGTCAAAAAACCGTTGAACCGGTGAAAACCNCGGGTTGACCCGGTGACCCGATGAACCGGTCCCCTAACCGGGCCGATTTTGTAATTGGACCGTTTGAGCAAAGAACCGGTCAAAAAACCGGTAATCCGTGAAAACCGGACTGGGTTTACAAAACCGGCCAGTTTTGTTCCTTTAGTATAAATATGTTTTTTTTTTACATTTTTGTGTCTTTTTCTTTTCCCCTTCTGTTTTGCCTTAAATCCTAAATCATTCGTTCAGTGTTTGTTAACTCAAAAATTAAGTAAATACAATTAAGTGATTCAAGTTTGAAGGTGGAGGCTGGGCTGTTAATTGAATGCATTGATTTATTAATTGAATGCAATTAAGTGATTCAGGCTTGATAACTTTGTTTGATTTAATATATATTAAACATGTTATTTTTATAACTATTTTAATTTTTTAGTCTATTTATCATCATTAATAATTATTTTTAATTTTTTTATTATATCACCGGTTCGACCAGTGACCCAGTGGTTGAACCAGAAATCCATTGACCCGGTCCCTTCTCCGGGTTGGTGTCCGGGCCGGGTTTTAAAACTATGCTTAAAGTGAAGTGAAAGTTTAAACATTAAAAAGTTAAGACAAATATTAACCCTAATTAAATATATTTAAGTGAAAGTTTGAACTCTAAAGAGTGAAGATAAATACTAACTCTAGTTAAATATATTTAAGTGAAAGTCTAGACTCTAAAAAGTGAAAATAAATAGTAACTCTAGTTAAATATATTTATGTATATTTGAGTTCAACCCGATTTTAATATTCAAGTTGAACCCGACAACCCGAGGCTTGCCCAAATTCAATCCGAGTTGGAGTTTGTTTGTCCAGATCCAATCCAATTATTAAAAATTCTAACTCAAGCCCTGTTTTTTCGGATTAGGCTCAAGTTGAATTCGGGTTGGCCCGCCCCCAATTACACCTCTAGTTATAACTGTTAAGTATTCATGAGTTTGAATCTTGACAATTTTTTAGAGTCAAGTCACGAGAAATTTATCTCTCATGAATACTCTAATCCCGACGTAGATGGTGGATTTTTAATTGAACAAGGGGAGAGAAAAATCAAAAATCAACTATCAAATACCTAATCTATGAATCTGTGTCTGAATTACAGAAAACTATGATTCACATTCAGATTGGATTAAACAAACACAGATGAAAAATGGA